AAAAGCAGAGCACAGAATCCGAGAAGTAGGATTTGACACTAGGAAAGAATATGGACTCACTGCAACGTGGTAGACGTATGTGTCGATATCGAGTGAGGTGTTGTAACCACTGACAAAACATCAAAGTGAGATAGATCCTTACATATATACAAACCCCCTTTAAAAATGACGCATAGCATAATAAGCCCCAAACAGCTCTAGCCCTAACTCAGACTCCACCAGCAACCCTCTGCACCAACCCCTCCACCTCCTCGACCCCCAACTCCCTCACCCCCAACAAACCATTATCATCCCTCTCCCACGGATACGCCAACTCTCTTGTAGCGATACAATACTGAATCTGCACCTCAAACGTCGCAGCCGTCACCTCCCTCCCCTCCCTGAGGTCTACCAACGCCCCCTCCACCAACCCCCGCATATCCCTCTCCCTCGTCTCTTCCCATCCCTTCGCCCCCAGCACCTTCTTCACCACGCCGACCAACTGACTCTGCGACAGATACACCGAATGCACATACACCGCCCGATTCCGCGTCTCCTGGGGATGCAGCAGCACCGCCGCCGTGGCGCGGCCTACATCCTCCAGCGTCGTCCAGGGGACGACGTTGTCTCCGGTGCCGAAGATTCGGACTTTTCGGCAAGGAAAGTCTAGACCTGCGAAGCCAGACCTCAGAGCCCAGTCTAGGAAGACTCCGCAGGCGACGACGGTGTAGGTTAGTGTGGATGCGGCGGCGTGGCGTTGCACGGCTTCGTAGGCGGCCTTTTTGCGGGCGAAAACGGGAAGCGCGTGGATTCCTGGGTTGGTGGGGTCGAGGCCGAAGTCGCTTGTTATGCTGCATTTGCACAAAGGCGAGGGGCGTTCTGGTTAGTTGGGGAAGTTGGATGGAGAGGGTAGAAGGGGGAAGGTGAAGGGCAGGGACGAACAAGCGAGAGACGCCGGCTGCGGCGGCGGCGTCGATGAGACGGAGCGGAGTGTCGATGTCCGGGGAAAAGGTCGTGTCGATCACGGCGTCTTGGCCGGCTAGGGCTGCGGTGAGGGAGGCGGGAGAGGCAAAGTCGACCTGCTTAACGGTGGCTGCTGCGGGGAAGGTGGTTGCGGTTGCAGGCTTGCGGGTGAGGATGGTCACGGTGAAGTTCTGGGCGAGCAGGGCGTGAAGGACTTGGCTGCCTACGTTGCCGCTGGCCTGGGGCTTGTTAGCTTGAGCTTTGGTTAGGGGAAGGGGGGAATTTGGGGTAGTTAGGGCTTACTCCTGCGAGAGCCACGTTCTTGATTGAGGACATTTTTTCGGGTTGGTAGCAGTCTTTGTGTATTGACGGTGTTAATGAGGTTGGAGATCAATGGGCAATGGTTTGTATCAGCTGGCAATATTTAAACATTCCAAGTTTGCGGACATGGCCGGAGATCGAGGGTCAAAAGGCAGACAGCCCCGGTCTCCGGGCTAATGCCGGCAATGCAACACTTTTCCAGTTATTTCCGCGATTCTCAGGGTCTTTGGCTTGTTCTGGATAGGTCAAGCCACACGCCAGGGGATGGAGACCAGGCAGCCAGTTGTTGCCGCAGGTGGATGATTGGATGTCAGATTTTAGTGAGACATCTAGTTTGATTTGTAAGATTTATCCAAGTCATGGCATGTTCCTTTGCGTCGTTCCTACTCAACCACCGCTAAGAACCCTCCAGGAATACTGGACAGTTGTATCACCCTATTCCGCATATTCTCGCATATCAAAAGCCTATCTCTCAGCTCACGACTGCCCCGGCAACTTCCTCATGTAGATCTCGCTGGCCAGACTTCCACCACCGCTACAAACACCCCACTCCCCAATCCCAAACCTCTCCGGAGCACGTCGACAATTCATCCCACTCCCCCCAATAATCACATTCCCCGGTCGATACTCAGGATCCGCCTTCATCCGCCTAATCGTCGAGCCATGGAACTTCGCATCCAACGGCGTATCGCGCGGGGCCCCGCGGTGCGGCGGCCAGTGGACCAGCGCCCACCTCCCATCCTTCTGCATCGCTGCCCGCCGTATAGGAATCCACTCCATGAACCGCCACAGCCAGGCCGTAGCCCGCGAGACCCCGTCCCCAGCATCTAGCGACGAATGCAGTAGTCCCTGCGTGCAGGAGTCGACCAGCGCAGCCTGGAATGGCGACGGCGACGGCGACGACGACAACGATCTCCCCAGCTCCTCCTCCAGACACCCCATCTCTTTCATCTTCTCGCGATCCAAGCGCAGCCCAGCCCGCTGCGCCTCCCGCACCATCCAGACAAGCGGAACGTGGCTGATCTGCGTGCGCTCCCGCGGTCCACGCTGGAACCCGCCCCCAATATCAGCGTGGTTGCCGGGGAACCATACCTCCTCGAAGTCTTGGGAATCATCATCACCACCAACACCACCACCACGCAGCCCATCTAACACTCTCTCAACCCTCTGCCCCCTTTCTCCCCTCCCATAAATCCCCAAAAGCACAGGCTGAAACTTCACCCTCCGTTCATCGATACTGACCGCATGCCTCACCACCCTCGCATTCGACCTCCCGTCATTGACCACCTCAAACTCCGCCACACTATTGACCGTATCGAACAACCCCAGGAACCTCGCCGGCCGAACAGGCCGACACAACGTCTCCCGACAGTGCCTTAGATACGTCCCAGCCCTCTCCTGCGCTTCGGCCGTCTGATACCGCGTCAGCTTCAACTGCGAGAACGCCTCCCACACCAAGGGGATCATCTCCTCGTTATTCGGGCCCAACAGGCCCGCCGCGTCCAGCATCTCCGCCAGGAACAGCGCCGTGTAGGCGCCGCGCGAGAAGCCGAAGATGTAGATGTCCGTGGCGGTGCGGTAGTGGCGCATGAGGAAGCGGTAGCCGCCCAGCACGTGCTGGTCGAAGGTGTGGCCCAGCGCTTGGCTGAGGGTTCTGCTCTTGCCTTGGGTCAGGGTCTTGTGGAGTTGGGTGGCGGCGAGGGCACTGGGGGTGATGGTGGTGCCGACTCCTGCTTTGCGGGGGTTAGGTTTTCTACCTGGGGAGGGGGGAGGGTGGGAGCTTACGTTGGTAGTAGACCACTACACATTACATTTCTATTAGCTTTGCGGTCACATCACAACAAAATCTCAACCGGGGGGGGGGGGGGGGGGGCGTACGCTGATCATCCCCGCGCTGCAACATCCGGCAGATTCGCAGGATGTTTGTTTCTGTGCCATCGGCCCGGAAGGTGTTGCCCGTGCCGTCGAAACACAGCACGATCTGGCTTCTAGTCGTGGAGGGTTCGTTCTTGGTTTCCATTTGCGATGATAGAATTGACGAGAACTTAGCTTAGCACAGCTGCTGCGCTGGGGAGGGAGGGAGAGTTCGATCTAAAGTATGTGTGACGAGAGACGATCATCGTCCGCGCGCCTCTCCCCACTGTCAATCCCTGCGGCTTTTGGTTAGGCCGATCTCCCGCTGGACTGGTTTATTGGTGTTTATTGTCGATTCGGATGCGCCGTGCGACTCGACAGTGGGGCAGCTGAACGTGCTTTGGCTAAGGGATGGGGTGTTGATCACCTCGATAGCTAGCCGTCCCACTGCAAGCGAGTGATCTGGAGTGGGTTGGTGTACTGCCTAGGTAAGTAGTCAATGGGTCTGTGCTGCTGTAGACTACATTCTTAGTATGACGCTCAGCACTGCACATCCTAAGCAAATGAAGATCGATACATCGAGACATACAGCAGACCCCTGACTCCGAATCCTTCGACTTCCCTATTCTACGCAAATGGCAAAGGTATCCAGATGCTGCGTGACACGCAGCGGAGTGGCTGAGAGGGAATCACTACACCCAGGCGAGCCCTACGTTGCCTTACAATCCAGGCATACTATCATCCCCAGCCCTACGACCAAACAAACTCCACCAGGCGCCGTGCGCAGTGTAGTGCCTAACACATATATGCTGCACCTTACCATCATCAGCAACTACCACCTTTGGAATAATAGCCAGACATGCACGATATTAACCAACTGGTATGTATCAGTATACATAAAAGAACCAACCCTCTCCCTCAACCTAAACCATAATAAACCCAAACCCAGCCTGAAAATAATCCCCATCCGGCTACAACCTGATTTCTTCACGACAACAGCATCTCAAAAGAAGCTGTATCAACAACAAAACAAAGACAGAATCAAACTATAAACTAACACAACTTTCGACATGATCGTCACACGTCACAAATACCCGCAAAAGAGCAGAAAAGCGTACTGGTATCACCCGGAGAAACCAGTCAGTCCGCAAAGCCAATACAAATGAAAAGGTACTCATCACGAAATAAATTCTGTGTCACCCCTAGGGATTCTCCATCACATTTTCTTTTAGGCGCAACTATCCAAGAAAAGAGCACACGTTGAACCTGTAAGTTGCTGATCTGGTACAGTACACTGTACCGCATTGCGTGAATGGCCCCACAGTTCCAGTCCCATAATCAAGCAACCACAGGAAACACAAAACCGCCCCAAAGGTACCGGTGACCTCCTCGACCAACCCATACCTCAAGCGAGATCCTGCCACCAAGTCAGGCGCATGAGCCTCAGTACGGGACTTCCTCGATTAACCCACCACTGGGTCTCTATGGACAAAGACACCACGATCCCTGCTGGAGGTATTCGCCTGGCTAGCTAATTCGGTACAGTGGATGCCGGAATGACATTCTCCCTCTATACCCGGACACCGCCTCTATTTCCTCTGAGAACACACAAGAAGGTACCTCTCCATTTAATCAACAAACAACGCATCGGAAATCTCCCTTTGCAGCTCCCCAAAACAGCCGTCATCTACCTGCTAAGCCTATCCTCGAACAAGGAAATCTGCACCGAGGACTGGAGTATTTAAAGAACCAACAAGATGTCCCATTCCTTCCCCCTTTCCAACTATGATACCCCATCATCACCCTCAACCCAAAGCCCACGGGGATTGTTCGAGCGCGTAACCTGATCTGAACATCCAAAAGCCAAGCAACGGTAAGGAACAATGTCCGACGACGACGAATCCAGCGCAAGCGGTGAATACCACGCTGAATACCACCCGCACCTGCGGGAGGCTGCAGCGTACACGGACGACGAAGTGACGCGGCGGGCGTTCGACGTGCGCCAAGTCCGCGGTGCGGACGCCGCCGGCCTCCGATGTTGCCTGCCCGAAGCGCAGCGCAGCTACCGGACGCCCTCAGACCAAGAGCAGTGTCCGATGTGCGATGCGAGCTGCCACCCGAACTGCCTGGACAAGCTGCGCAACGAGGAGATGCGCCGCGGCCGGCCGCTGGCGTACGGCTGCCCGCAGTGCGGCACCCTGTGGCGGACCGACGCCGAGACCGCCGCCGCCGCCGAACGGCAAAACCAAGCCAACGCGAACAGGACTCGGCCAACGGCCAAGCCGTATCGCTGCCGGCGGGACCCCATCAGCGGGCGGTTCGTCTGCACCTTCGCGCCGCCGTCCACGGGCCAACCGTGCGGGTGGACCCGCAAAACCAGGCACCAAATCCGCGTTCATCACAACCGGGCGCACGAGGACAACCCTGATCCGTCCTGTGACTGCGCCGGCGTCTCGGTCTTCGACACCGATGACGAGGACAACATCAGCGCGGACCCGCCGCCCTGCCCCTGCCCCATTTGCGCGGAGCAGTACTATTGTCGCCATGCCGCCGCCGCGCATTGCCGGAAAGAGCATCGGATTAACTCCTGGCCTCCCAAGTGTCGAATTTGCCACACAATATTTGACAAGTATCTGGACCTCATTGTGCATCTTACCTATGCGCACCAGAATCCTAGACCTTCTCAGTAAACAACCCAGGTCCGGCATCATGCCAGTGAGGTAAGCCAGCATTCCGTCTGTAGCTAACACCGCCCTTTTTCTTGGATTTCGGGCTGTATTGATGAGTGAGTGGAGAAAGAGAAAATCCCTACTGCACTTCAAATATCTCGGGAACCACAACAGAGAAAAAAAAATAGAAATTAAGGGGCTGAACCCTGTATTAAAGTCGTTTCGTTTCATTAGTGAAAACTTCCGGATGAAGTCCCCACCATCTGCAATATTTAATGTGATGGATTATTGCACAAGCGGCGAACGAGCTTGTATTCGTACCAGGAGATCAAATATCTTCTGTTGCGAAACTGCGCATTCGTGAGTCATGCAGGTAGACACTGGGACTTTTCGTGAGTGGCCATCTGCGAAGCAGTCGGCCACTTGGGTGCATATCACGTTCAAAATCATTGTATAGCCCCTTCACATTACTGCTTTCATATAAGTCTCAGTTTCTGGTTCCAGTCAATAAAGCAAAGATCTCACTTGTTCACCTGAGAAGTCGTCATGCAGATGTAGCTGAGCACTGCATTCTCATCTTGTCTGGCGTTCATAGTTTTGGATCGACCTTTTGTTCGAGGCATGATAACTCGAGCTAGTCGTACATCAAACCTCCTTGAATTTTGCCTATTCCGGACCAAACTGCATCGTGCCGAGCCCCGCCTCATGCTTGACAGCCTCCAGCCACAAAGGGTCATAATCTGCGAATGTTTGATCCAAAGGGTCATTCCCACCGTAGGAGAACTGACGAGCCACTTGTTGCAGCCTCTCATCCGTGGGACAGATGCCATCGGCAGTTTGACAATGAATGTAATCTATCAGGGCGCGACGGAGATCGGTGTAGCGGTTGAAGGCATTGGGAACGCCGTTTCCGAGCGACATGTTGGACAAGCCCAGTGTATCCTCCTGTTCGGGGGCGCTGCCTCCCAGCAGCGCAATAGACGATTTCCATGGATCCATCGTGCGCCGTTCGTGGCCCAGGAGGTAGGGCGGTATGGCATTTTCAACCAACCGTTGCACTTCTGGCGCAAACCCCCAATCACCCTTCCACTCCGCCATATTGGCGCCATTCTTGAAATGAGCCCCAACATGATCCATACGCTCTTTCCAGGTCGCAAAGGTCGCGTCACAGAGCCCGCAGCGGGAGACAATGGTGCGCGATGTTCGCCATCCATCCATGATGCCGGAATGATATTCCGCGCTGTGTGTGAGTTTCAAGTGTTGTCGTAGATGGTCTTTGCGGGAAAACGTCCGTTGCCCATTGGCCCTAGATTGGCAAGCAAAATAGTCGTGTCGGTCGAGAAGGTGGCCAGTTTCTGGGTTTGAAGCTTGACAGAACACACAGGTCCGGGTTCCCTCGAGAACGACGATGCCACCGTCGGGGGCGCACGTCCATAGGTCCACAGGCAAATGCAAAGTCTTTTCATGCCGCTCCCAGTCATATTTCGTGCGGAATGAGTCGGTGCAAAATGTGCACTGATATGGACGGTTTTCTATCGGTTGGCGATGTGATAGGAAATCGTTGGGACGTGGAGGCTTCTGACGACGACGATGGCGACGACGAGACAGGGATCGCTGGCCAGCCATGGGAGTTGGCGGTCGTCGCACGGGCTGGTAGTGTGCGTGGTGGCCAAACGAAGCCTCAGAGCTCGATGAATGACTATAACCCACCGTGCTGGTAGATGGAGCCCCAACAACGAACGAGTTGCTAGAACTATGGCTCGACCAGGCATACTGAGATGCCGGGGTGCCCGCACTTTCCTTATCGTCATACAGACCTTCCATGGTATCCAGAGCTCGCACGATGTCTGAGGTCGCGGCCGCCTCACTTCCTGGTGGGGAGTTCTTCCATCTCTCCATGGGTGATTGTAGAGAGAGATCAGCCGCCGGTGCCAGTTGTTCGACTGCCAGGGACGCACCTCCGCCAACAAAAGTGCGCCGTCGTGCATTGCTGAACCAGTCGGATATCTGAGCCCTTTCGAGCCCCGTCTGCTGCTGCAGAGCATCTTTCTCTTCCTTGGTGGGGTAGGGGTAATCTTGATGGCTGTAAAGCCATGACCGCAGGACAGTCACCGCTTCCCTCGATAGGCGCTGGTATTTTTTCTTCTTTCCATAACGACCTCGAGAAGAGCTGCGATTCTCTGCCGAGTGGGAAGAATTCGAAGCCGCAACAATGTGGGAATTATGGAGAAACTGTCCTGCTTCCGGTGCGCTTTGCGCGAAGTCGGCCTCGCAGAAGAGCCCCCAGCATGAACAGGGTGAAGTCAGTGAAACATGCTCATAACAGACCGGGCATATCTCGAATTGACCTTCCGGGGGTAGAGGTGCTGCAGGGAAACTCGAGTCGGTAGTTAGCTGTGACTCGTATAAGTGCAGGGCTTCCTCGGACCCCATGGCGGCGACCGGGGGTTCTAGAGGCGGTAAGTCTAGAACATCAGAACAGTATTTGGGAGGATCGTTAAGATCCTCCGCCATATGAAAGGAAAGGAAAGGAAGGGAAGGTAAAGTTAGAGATAGAGTTAGGCTGAGCTGGACAAGGAAATGAGGGGAATTGTGATGGTGATGATGATGGAGATAGAGAAATTGGCTGCGGGCAGCAAGTGAAAGGCGGAAGGCGCGAATCTAGCCAGCCATTCCGCGCATAATGCAGTGGGGCTCCCGCGCCCTGTGTCACTCCATGGTGGAGATCTCCCGAATAGGTATAGTCCGAGCCATCCTGCCAAGCATCCACATTATCCATGGAGATTCGCCTTGGAGGTCTTTGGAGGTCTTTGGAGGTGCATGGAGATGCTGAGCAGACAAAGTCCTTTGATCCGTATAACTTGGGGAAGGGAAAGTCACTATATATTTCAATGACGGCTACAAGCCGCCTGCCACAGCTTGTTAACCAGAGCCATCGAAATATATAGTCATCGTCCACATAAGCAATCTCCGAGAAGCCTACCCAAAGTATACCACCATGACTGCTTCATTGTGCCCCCAAGCAATTGACATCATCCTCTCTCCCTACCACGTCGGCCTGCGCGACCACCGTGTCGGCAACGGACCCCACCGCATCCTCTCCCTCGGACTCGAGCAAGAACTCCACCGCCTGGGAGTCGCCTTCCATCTCATCGAAATTCCACCCGTCGACGAGTTCGAGGGCGAGATAGGGCGCAGCTTCGAGCTCCTGCGCCGGATCTCCACCGCCGTCAGCCAGTCGGTGGCCAACCGCCGCTTCCCCCTGATCCTGTCGGGGAACTGCATGGCCAGTGCCGCGGTCGCCTGTGGGCTGCGAGTGGACGACGACCTGGCCTACATCTATTTCGACGCCCACGACGATCTGGACTCGCCGGATGTGAACGAAAACGGGTATCTAGATGCCATGGGCCTGTCCATGCTGCGTGGGGAGAGCTGGAAGACCTTGATGAACAGCGTGCCGGGGTTCAGGCCGGCGGAGTTCAATCGGCGGTTCTTGTATTGTGGGCTTCGAGACCAGACCGGCGTGCAGAGGCAGCGGGTGATCGATGCGGGCATGCAGGCCATCTGGGGCAGCACGGAGAACAAAGTCGATTTTGCGAGGGAGTTGAAGACCCAGCTGGAGCAACGAGCGTACGACCAGGTGTTGGTTCATCTTGATCTGGATGTCTTGGATGACTCGTACGGAAAAGTCAATGACTACCCATCCCCAGGTGGCTTATTGGAATCGGACTTGATCGCTTGTATGGAACTGGTTCCGCAGAAGACTACCCCTCGGTCGCTGACCGTGTGTTCTTTTGATCCGGATGCGGGCGACGGTGACAAGATTGCTGGGATTGCAGTGCGGGCGATTATAGCCCTTGTTCAATCTCTCCTAGATACCGGAGCTTTATCCAAGATCTGAAGCACGCATGCAGCTACAGCAAGTCATCAAGAGGCTTCCACCCAGACACTTTCCACATATGCTTTCACCACAAGACAGAACTGGAATCGAAAGGATTTATACCTACGAACGAGAAGACGAAGCAGTCACTGTCGATATCCCAACGAAATTTTATATCATTGTCCAAATATATCATCGAAAAATTGTATCCAGGTAACAAACGCCAATAGTATAGAAAGACAATCATGTTAAACTTGGCATGAAAACATCAAAAGTTCCACCGTGGTGTATATAAAGCGCCCAGCGTGATTGTACCAACTATAGAACAAAAAAGTCCAGCTTTTCGTTAAGGGTTTCCTGGGAGCAGCCGTGAGGTGGATCATTGGCCAGGCCGTTCCTTGGCTGGGGAAGTATATTTTCAGCAGTTCAAGGGCAATTCATGTAGTCGTTGACCGCATGCAGGGTCATTCTTGTGCCTTGATAGTCATGTCATTGTACCGTAATATGAGTTTCAACGAACCCTCAAAAAGCCATTATTCGTAACATCCGTAAAACATAAAGCTGTCAAAAGAGCGCAAGCTGCGGCGCCGATTCGAATCATGAAGAGGTTACCTAAAATCAAGTTGGAAGGCTTTCCATTTGCCTCCGACCGTGCGACATCGAGGACAGCCGCGGGTGTGGTTAGGATAGCTGGTCGGCCCATGCGACATGGCGCTGCCCGGGCTGGACGTCACATTCCGGAAGGACGCAGGGGGACTGCTGATGAACATCCCAACACACTCCCGGCAGACTCCGCAAATACATTCCGTGCAGGCATAGCATTCGCTCAATGCCCAAGGCCGCTTACAGCTAGCACAGTAGATCTGAATCTCTTTACTACGGTAAGAGGCCGGGGTGGGATTGGAGAACCGATGGTGCTGCCGTTGCGACGCCGACGGGAACATATTCAACACTGGGCTGGAATCCGAATTGATCGAAGGCGCAAGGTGACTGGAGAAGGAATGATTCTTGCCCGACGTCGACGAAGCCGAGTCAATTGACGACTCGATGGACGGAAATGGCTCCAAGTCACTGTCGCGGTTGCGATCAAACGGAGGCGGGGTCATGGACTTGTGCATGGGCGACGCGAAGGGGTGGGGGAAGGGCCGGTAGGGTGCAGGTGGGGGTAGTCCAGTGGGGGTTTGGAATGCAGGGGGTAGCGAAGAGCGGTTGCTGCCCGCAGGAGCCGAGGTGATATTGGAGATGAGCGGGGGCATCGTAGGCGACCGGCCGACCTAGTAGGTGTGAGAAAGGTAACCTGAGAGAATCCCAAACCCGACTTACATCAGACTGGTGTTCGTCGTCTGCTTCTGTGGCAGAGGTAGCTGCCTCGATGAGGTCCTCCCAACGCTTGCCCTGCGCCCAGGCTGCAGTTTGTGGCTCGGCAGAGAGCGCCTTGCGATCTCCTAGACTCGGACGTCGTCCATATTCCTTCGATTTAGTGCGCTCGTATTTCGGCTTGCGTGCCCCAGAGATCGACGACTTGCGAGACCGAGGCAGCTTGTCTCTGCGTTGGATTGGAGGCAACGTTGAAGAGCGCCCGGGCGGCGAGTGGGTCAGAATGGAAGGCAAAAGCTCTCGAGGGCGAGCCGCGGGGAACGGAGGCAATGACTCTTGTTTGAAATGCTCGCGCAGTGACGGCAATTCGACGGAGCGGATCCGGTCCCGGTCATTGTCCGATTGGGTTTCCTGAGGCGGACCAGTCAATGTCTGATTTTTCGCAACCGCTTTTTCTCCCTGCTTAATCCGGCAAACGAGCAGTCTGTATAGCATACCATGTCTGTGTCCCAGTCAGATGCTAAGCGGTTGTGGTGCAATTGAGCCAAGGCGACGGCTGCGGTAGCGGTAGCCGGATGGGCTTCATCGATACCCCGCGGGGTTGCGGGGGAGCCAGCATCGGCAACATAAATGTCGCGATCAGCCAGATCTACTTCCCAGTCAGCTGCTGAGTATCCCCAATGTACCCAAGGATATCAACCAACCATTGCGTCGTCGAGAAGGAGCGGGTTTCGGGGGGGACAGGTGAGCACGCTGGTCTGGTGGGGTTGTGACCATCAAGATAAAGCTCTCCTCGGTAGCCGGGAGCTTCGGAATGTAATGGTTGGGGTGAGCACGGCGAATGTGCTCCTGCATGGAGCGATAGCGTTTTTCCTGTGCGAAGAATAACCGGTTAGGTGCGGCCATAGCAGTCTTCATTTATCCCAGCTCGTCCCTGTTACTCGAACTTCGCAGCAGCTGCCCCTCCTCAGTTTGCATGGCGCTTGCTGCCCACTGCATGAAAAAAAGTGGGGCCCCGATCGGCGGGGAGAGCGAGGAAGCATGGCGACGAAGAACACAAAGAGCTGGACGAATGGGAAAACTCACCCCCAGGCATCTCTTGCGACAATTGGAACCATCATTGTTTTTCAGAGGGCAAACCACTTCGTTGTTGGCGTCAGTGACGGAGAACGAACTGGTTAAAGATGATCGGGGCGGCATGGTCTGCATGGATCCGTTTCGGGCGGCGGCGGCGTGGGGTGGGTTGGTCGGAAGGGGAGAATCAAGCACCAGCACACACCAGGCAAGGCACACAGGCTGTGATTTTCAGGGCAATGTCAATTCAATCTGGAAGATCTCCGCAAGGCGACATAAGTTGCTGCGACCAAAGAATAACACCAGCAGATTGTTCGCAGAAGAAGCTCGAGCAAGTCTAGTCAACTGGAGAGGCGAAACGGGATGATGGAAGAAAGAGAACAACGGAGGGCGGCGAAAGAAAGAAAAAAGAGTATTGCAACAGTATGAGTAATGGCCAAGCGGACGCCCTGCTAGACTACCACTTGATCTAGCTTCTATTTCCAAGACCAGTAAGTAGCACTGATAACTGGAGCAACGGAGAATGGGGGTAGAAACTGATGCAATCAATCTCTCATAGAGCAGCAGCAGCAGCAAGAAGAAGAAGGAAATGATGGAAAAAGCAGTAGCAGTAGTAGTAGTAGTAGTAATAGGCAAGCAGGTAAGGTAGTAAGTATTGGAAGCAGCACTAACAAGCAGTGGCAGTGGAGGGGGGAGAAAGTCAAGGAGCTTCACTTATCCACTAGGCCGAAAGCAGGCTAGTGGCACACAATCTGGACAATTGACAGGCAAAGGATTGGGGGAGAGCAAATATCCACTTTAAGCAAAAGGAGAAAGAGTCCAAAAAAGAAATTGGAAAAAAGAAGTAGAAAAAAAGAAAACGAAAATTGAGAAGGAAAGGCGAAAAAAGTGGAAACGGAGGGTATTGCAGTGGTACAGTCAGTAATCATACGTACAGTAAGTAATAAAAAGCTAAATTGAACAGGCGAAACAGCTGGCAAATGCTTTGCTAGCTACTAGGTAGCTACCTAGTTACCTAGCTAGCAGAGCAAAGCAGTGCTTGCAATGGGCGCAATGCTGGTTTCTCCGACCGCGTGGCTCACAGAGCGCTTGTGTTCGCCGAGAGGGTGGTTGTCCAGGATTAATGAACAATCCAGAAAACCCACGGAGCCGGCGATAAGTGGAACAAAGAAGGTTCCCTTTCGGTGGATTTGTTGTCAAACCCTCGATAAAGGTGGGATAAGCGTCTCACAAATGCTCAGTCCGTGGCACGATAAGCATTCGAGTTCCGGACCGGGGGAAGGATAATCATAAGAAAGAAAGAGAAATAAGAGAAGGAGAAATCCAGAAGAGAAAGAGAGAGGTGAAAGAGAACTCAGAAGAAATCATTCATATACTAGTCACTACCTGATGTGTTGTTTCTGAATTATGTCTAGCTTATAGCAAACCAAGACACATCCATACTCCATAGAAAGCTGCTGCTGCTGCTGCTGCTGCTGGGCGAGGTTTAAAGTGGGAACTACGATAAAAAAGCTCCAGCTGGATAAGCAGGAAGCTTCCTTCCTCATACTACGGTAGCAGCTCGGCGGCATCACTTCTCCTATAGTAGTCTGACTAGCTGACTGGAATCTCATCCGAGCAATCCCCTGATGAGGCATTAATCTTGTTTCATTATTATCGTCCTGGTAATGCCGGTCGTACAGCATGTGCCAACAACGATCCTGGTACTGAGTACTATGTATTACGATTTCCTCCCCGTCCGAGACTAGCTGGACGCCAGAGGGTATCTGATGCCGATAGCGCCTATCGATAAGTGTTGCTGTCGCAGCTAAGCTAAATGTGGGACAGCGCGATATCCGCACGCACGACATGGATGGATGGGGGAAAGACGGGGAGGATGAAGTTTCTGTCTCTCATGTCGCGAAAATTACCAGTTTCGAGCTGGGATGCTCGATCCGAAGTTTCGACCTTCTCCTTAACTATTGTTTTTTTTTTTTTTTTGCTACTGTAGCGGCAAACAAAGAGGAGCAGTTGTTCTTTGATAAGTATGAGCCGAGTCGAGTCGAGTCGAGCCGGGAAGGCCTTTACCTGCCTGATAGTGTATGTGTGGTGATGTGACACTTAGACTTTTCTTGTAGCTCAGCCTCGGTCTTCGTGACCATTACCTGACCGTACCGGAGCTCAAGGATGAGCGGCAGGAACCCCTCTGAATGGCCTCTGCCGTTCCGATTCTGCCCATTTTCAAGCATTGGCAGTTGGCACCAGACATATACTTCATATGTTCAGGTGAGTCGCAGAAGCACTAACTCACCAGTCGTGATCCGTGCGATCCAGCCCCAATGTTTTTACTTTCTCCTTTTACAGTTTTGAAGCGAAGAGATTATTGAAGAGCCATGACTTTGTCCAGCTGGTCTAAAAATTCCACCAGCCATCGTCGGTCGACGGCCCGGTTACTTGGAACGGGTCGAGCGGAAACCAGCATACGGTACGGTACAGAACAGTAATCGCCGACCAGCAATTCGGGAATGCCGGTGGAACCCCCCCTCCTCACATTCTTGGGGTTTACGACAGCTGCTGCATAACCCAGCTCAGCTCTGGACCACTGGGCAAAGAGCGTAACTCGGGATTCTGGAACCACGGGGGAAAGAGAGAGTAATCTTATCGAGGTCACCAACCACGGATAAGGTATCTAGTCGACATTCCATGGGGGTAGGGGTTACAGAAGATTCCCTCTGACTTCCACGGAGAACTCCCGTTCAAGTCAAGTGTAGTCAGAGGTAACCCTACAGTACAGGGTACTAGGTAGTTCCTTAGTAGCAGTATGTACTACTAGGTGGTAGTTAGGTGTACTAAAAGGAAAAGCACCGCGTGGTTGGGTAAAGGATCAAATGGTGAACCGATAGGCTAAAAAAGGCCATGTGCTGCAACCTTAGCCTGGAGTACTTTTACCCCTCCCCTCGCAGGCTGAATCAATCCAATCAATCACATCTCCCCTCCTTCTTTCATCCTAGGTAAGTTCCCCTCTCTCCCCCTCCATGGCCCTCCCACACACATCCATTATCCATTCCTTCCAGGCTTCCGCTCTTTCCCCCCCAACACTAAAACCAGCTTACCACCCACACCCCCCTTCCCCCTCCCCGAAGCTCCCCAGGGGAGGGTAATCTAGTAAGGTGAGCTTCCCATGCACCTCAACCCAGAAGCTCACCCAGCTACGAGCTTTGTCTGGTAGCTGCCTAAGACCGAAACGGTTTAAGACGAGACAAAAGATGTAGGTAGTGGCAAACCCAGTTTAGCTCGAACGCCACTCCAGTTCCTTATTCCCGTCTCAGTGGGGCTCTCGAAACGGTACCTTAGCCCAGTGAAAAAAAAAAGAGAGAAACAAACACAAGCAAAAGATGAAGGATGAAAAATTTTCGTTCTTCTCGAAACACAAAATGGCCACCACTTCTGGCTGATCCCATGGATGCAGGGGGTTGTTGCCCCCCCTGGGCTTTTGGGGGAGGATAACGTGAGCAACTACGTGGAAAGGTCCGAAATGTGTCCCTCCTCGGAAAAACATATACATACATACAGGGTAGGACTTATGAGTACTTCCTTCCACGTACGCTATACATGTTCAGTACTTGTGCTTGTGCACAATTGACTACGGTCAAGGGACAAGTTCAACGGCCGAGAAAAGTAGCGGTCCCCCCGGCTTCCTCCCTTTGGACTCACACTAAACTATCGCAATCTGCCTCGGTGGAAGTGGAGGTTGGGAATACATGCCCAATTCGTCATTTAAGCGAAAAAAAAAACGGGTTTAACTGTGTATTTCCCGTGTCGGTTCGCTGGGTGCGACGGAGCTACTGGTGCTACTGCTACAGGAATCATTGGAAGAGTGCATAGACACCCAGGAGTACACATAAAAACAGGTCTTGTCCTTCAGTTGATCCCTGAATGGCCTTCCTGGTTCTGTTGTTCGGTCTTGCCTTAGTCCGATACTGTGGACAGTTGACACAGGCGGGTAATCAATTCTTCCATCATTAAGAAATGGAACATGAGGAGATGATAGTATGAGGGGTAGGGGGCTTGCTTAGCTTGGACATAGTCGGTCGGAGTAAGACCTTGATCGATGTGGCAGGCCGTCTAGTCACGATTCGGGAGCTCAGAAGCATACGACACCTAATCTTATATATACTACCAGTATGTAGCAGTATTTGTCGTCGTTGTCGTTGATGTTAGCTATGCTCTATTAGCAGCACAGCCTACACGTAGGAATTTGCAAGCAGATCCATCCTCCTCGGTTCACACCGACATCACCATCTACACTTGTGTTGTATTGCGATAGGAAGAGCTATTCTTGGAAAAGCAATGCAATTGTCAGCCCGCACAAAAAGCATTGGGTGAGGGGCGCACTGATCGCCGCTAAAACGAGAGCACTACCGAGCTTCAAAGGGTAAGGTTAAGGATTACGTGGGACTGGCAAGGCAGCTGGTTCTGGTTTGCGTCGCATGGGCGGTCGGATGAGGTTCTGCTGGACCCCCCCCGATCCTTGCATGCTTGCAGAGAACGCAGCGAATGCGAATTCAGGAGTTGTGTGCAGGATGATACTCCCTCGCAGGAAATCTATGCGTCACTACCAGTCAGCAAAAGACGAGCAAGTACTCCGTACCGAGTACTGTACCTCCAGCGAGCAACCTGCATGGTGGCGTCGAAATATCCCACGGTGCTGACCTTCTCGAACTGGAAGAAAGACACAGAGACAACTGCAGGCACTGCAGGGCAGGTCGCATCTGGTCAGTTGCCTCTCCGGGCAAGGTGCAGGTAAGAAAAGCAGCATGATTGGCAGGGCAATTTGATGGGGAAAACCTGGCTGGTATCCAATGGAAAGGCAGGATTTCAGGGAACTTTCAATCAGAAGACTTTTTTTCCCGTCCACTGACTCTCGGGCGAATGCGATAGTTAAGGTAACTACTACGGAGTACACAGTAAAGTCTGGGCAGTCATTGATTAAATCGGGTTGATTGATTTGGAGTTCCCCCACTTCGGCTGGGCTGCGCAGCCTGTTGGTTAAGTTGCCGTACCGGCACTCTTGCTTAGCCGTACTGTAGTAGTAAGCACACACACTGTGTGAAGCGGTCACGAGCCAAAAAAGAACTGGAACGGAAAGGATGCCATCCATGGGCTTGGCGGCCTTAAGGCTCGCTACACACCGTGTGGTTTGAGTCTTGGCCATGGGGAGCTGTGTGTCAATCCGGGGTATGCTCGTGTACGTATTGGATCATAGTGAGCTCCCTCCCAACCTCCTTGCCTGCCTGTCTTGTCTCAAATCTCACCACATGATAGTTGTGTCTTAGTACGTACTGTACGGACAGCTTCACTGTAGAGTATCATGTCCAATTTCGGCTGTCGGCAATGCACTCAACTGTTACACAACAGAGGTCGGGACTTATACCCAGTATATCGCAAGTCTATGAGCAATGAGCCCATGCAACCTACGCATCGGGAGATTTCAAACAGAGAATGCAGCCTCCGATAGATAGTACGATTGCCCGTTTCCCCAGTCCCGAAGTCCCGATGACGTCGATATCCGAGAACACGCTTGGTGTGCGGGACAACTGCCGCACGGCAGCGCTGCATCCCGTGAAGTGTCAACTATTAACGGCTCTTTTCAACGACGCGCATCCGAATGATCCCTGCCTTCAGCACGTCTGAACGGGAACTGTCAACTGGCTGTAAATCATTCCGTGTTGGTTATAAGGGCTCATAAGGGCTCATAAGGGCTCAAATATACACATAGCACAATCAGCAAGTCTTTCGGATGCGGAAATCCCCCGGAAACGTCGGCTTAGTCCCCGCTCAAGGAGGTCAGGGCACACTTTTGTGCGGTCATCATGTCCGCATCCTCCAATACTCTACATGTTGTATCTCGACATGTTAATCTGCGGCCAACGGTCTGGACTACCATAACGGTTCCTGCTAATCACCCCTCTCAGCCCCTTAGCCTCATATCTGAGCATCGGCTAGGCAGTGTAGGTGCCGTCTAACCGTGTCCGAAGGTTCCACGGGGATCATCCGATGGGGCTCGAGGCCCCAGAACTCTGGAACCGACCGTCGCTGGGTCTGATCCGACCGAACCTCCACGCTTCACCCACGATGACATCGTTGGTTTGGGGGAGGTGGTGGGTTAGTAGCCAACTTGGCCTGATAGATAAAAAGGCCCGTTCGTAGTCCCAACCCAAGACACCAAGTCAATCGCATCCAAACACTTCTCAGTCCCTGTGTCAACGCTACGAAACTGAATCGCCCGCCCTATTCACCCAACAACAGCAACCGCACCAACAAACCACTGTTTCACCACCACTCCCAACCCACAGACCCAACGACCCCAATGTCGACCCCCAAGAAAAACTTCCACGTCGCCATTGTCGGCGGCGGCATCGCCGGCGTGACCCTGGCCATCGCGCTGCACCACCGCAACATCTCCGTGACCATCTACGAGCAAGCGCACGCCTTCTCCGAAGTCGGCGCGGGGGTCTCGTTCAGCCCAAACGCGGTGCAGGCGATGAAGTTCTGCCACGACGGCATCTACAGCGCCTTCGAGAAGGTGTGCACGCGCAACCTGTGGCCGTCCAAGCAGAAGGTCTGGTTCGACTACCTGGACGGCTACAACTACAGCAAGGGCGCGGACGAGACGGGCGCCGACCAGCGCCGCCAGGACATCGAGTTCACCATCTCCAACAGCCTGGGCCAGAACGGCGTGCACCGCGCGCACTTTTTGGATGAGCTGATCAAGCTCGTGCCGCAGGAGATCTGCCGCTTCAAGCGCCGGCTGGAGGACATCCACGAGCGCCTCCGCGACGGCAAGCTCATCCTCAAGTTCGCAGACGGGTCCGAGGAAGAGGCCGACGTGGTCATCGGCTGCGATGGCATCAAGTCCCAGGTGCGCCAGATCATCGTCGGCGCCGACCATCCGTCCGCGAAGCCCTCGTACACGCACAAGTACGCCTATCGCGGGTTGGTGCCGATGGAGAAGGCGGTCGAGGCCATTGGGGAGGAGCTGGCTTCGAATTCGTGTATGCATGTGAGTTGTCCTAGATGCCTTGGACTATCCATGTCGTCTCCAAGTGCTTTCTGTTCTTGAAGTCTCGCGAATGCTGACATAGAATGATAGATGGGCCCCGGCGGCCACATGCTCACCTTCCCCGTCAACGGCGGCAAGACGCTCAACATCGTCGCCTTCCACACCAACCCCGCCGACTGGGCCGAGTACCCCCAACTCACCCGGCAGGGCACCCGCGAAGAGGCCCTGAAGGACTTCGAAGGCTTCGGCCCGAACGTGATCAACCTGCTCAAGCTGACTGAATCCGATCTCAGCGTGGTGCGTACCCACACCCTCCCCCTTTACCCCTAGTCCTACAACTCATCCCTATTCCCCATCAACCCCCTTAAACATAAAACCAGCGCTAACACCAAAAAAGTGGGCCATCTTCGACCTAAACGACCACCCCGTCCCAACCTTCCACAAAGGCCGGGTCGTGATCTCCGGCGACGCCGCCCACGCGACCTCGCCGCACCACGGCGCGGGCGCCGGCTTCTGCATCGAGGACACCGCCGTGCTGGCGACGCTGCTGCAGGACGAGCGCGTGCGCACCCACGCCGACCTGGCGGCGGCGTTCGCCGCCTTCGACGCCAGCCGCCGCGAGCGGTCGCAGTGGCTGGTGCGCAGCTCGCGGTTCATCGGGGACTGCTACGAGTGGCGGGCCGAGGGCGTGGGGCGGGACTTCCAGAAGATTGAGGAGGAGATCAATCGCCGGAATGGGGTGATTGCGAATGTGGATGTCGCGAAAATGGTGGACGAGGCGCAGCAGGAGTTGGGAAGGCGGTTGGCCGTGGCTGGCGGGAGTAAGGCTTCTTTGTAGGGGGGTCTGGGGGTGTATGGAATGATATCAATGTATATAGGTACAGTAGTAATGTAGATAGTTGCGATTTGTGGCTTTGAGCTTTTGTTAATTTCTATAATGTTTATGCATAGCGGCTGTTTGTGAAGATGTAGAATTACTTCTTACTTCTAGTGTGACATCAGTCTGGATTGAATTATCAAGAATGCTATAAATAAAAGTGATGTCTTGTTCTGTGCGTAATTAATTTGTTGTCTGAAACCAACTATGATCAATGTCTATGTTGATACTATGTGAAGTGCTTCCCCAGACAACATCAAGCCACCTGATGCTGTCTCAATTCCTCTTCCTCTCACTCATTGGCTTCCCCGCATTCAACTGCCGGGCGCTATCCGACATTTGTCCCGTTTGCCCTGTTTGATCTGTTTGCCGTCCTTTCGGAAGCGGTCAACAACGGCAAGAGAAGGGCGCATCCGATGGGGCGGGGGATTTCCCCTCATCGACTCCCCAACTTCCGAAAGCTTGTTTCACTCCGATCCCTCGAATTTGAGGGGAAATATGGGGCTGTTTGACTCGTTCATTCCACAGAAGAGAGAGCGTGGCCTCGTGTGGGCGGGCTGGCTCTGAGCTCCGATGATTGCATCGGAATCCAGTTGTATATTTGAGGACCCTACAATCTAACGTGGTTGGTCGTTCTTGCTCACGGGCTGCTCCCACCCGACCTCAACCAGCTTCGGTGCCTTTGATCACCCGGAGAAATGCGCCACAGTCTGAAAAGCGTATCAGCAGGCGCTCATCTACCTCGTTCCACAATGCATTGAAGCCAACCTTTCTCATTAAAGAATTCCAGCTCGAGACATTTGGTGCGTTGAGCGGACCCTAACGTGGAGGCCGAATGCTTAGACTCGTGCGAGAGGACACTGGTCGCGCTGTCCATGGAGCCGCGCCGCGAGATGCCTTGAAATGCGAATTTGACCTGCTTCGACTTGGCGACAGGCGCTCCAAGATCGCTCACTGAAACGTATCAGCCGGCTTCAGACAGTCACGCATCACTCTTGTTGACATACTGGGTATGTCCATGAACCTCGCTCGCCGGGAAGTGCCCGGAAAAGAAGCGAAGTACAGCAGCGACAGGCCCTTTGAAATTGGATCTTCAAGTATCCGGATTGCTTCTGCCGAGTTGGAGTGGCAGTCTGTCGCATTGATGGATATCTTTCGCACGTCGATACAGGCAATGACCTTCCGGCGGAGGAGAACTTCTTGAAAGGACTCAAAGTCTGTGAAGGTTAGTCTAGGTGCCTGATCAACCCTTAGCTCGTTCAGAATGACTGTACCACTCATGTCCTGGAGTTGATACATTGGGGAGATGTGGTACCGCGTGGTTGTATGGTGGTCTTCGATCTTTGTCTTGTGCGAGCCTTGAAACCAGACTCCGATCTGGGCTGTAGTGACTCGTTGGCTGGGAACGTAAGGGATCATGGAACTCTTGACCGTGGATGATCCGCGGATGACTGTCTGAGTGACCCTGACTCCGTCTTGGACATCAACTGCTTCGATCGCCTCAGGCTCGTTTGTTTGTGTGTTGAAGCAAGCAACGACGTTACACATGAGGGGACGGTGTAGCGCACGGTTTGGGACGTTTGGGTCAAGAAATTCTCTACAATGGAAGAACGTTAGTCAGAGACTGTTTGGGTCTGGAGAAAGCGAGAAGGAGGCAGAGCAGATTGACGCGGGCACGTACAGTCGCACCGGATGGCTTGTCAATGAAATCCTTCTGTCGGGTATCAGCATAGAAACCACCGACTGAGGAGACCCAATGGTCAGATCAGACTCTGTGGACCTCTGACGAGATATAGGTCCTGATGTGCGGTCATCCGGAGAAGGCGACTTCTTCGGACTTAATGGGTGAGACAGTCCTGGCGAGTGAAGCCCCAAATCATGAGCGTCCGTATTGAAGGCGTGAACGAGTTGAAAGTCAAGCCATTGTCGGAACTGTTCCCATTCCTCGGCCGTGTCGTTGATGGTGTGGCGTGATTTTGGTGAGACTTGATCTTTTTGATAAAGATCATGATTGGGCACAAGATCGTGTCCGTATCCCACCATCCCCAAAGCATCGCGCACATCGTCGCTCACTTGATGAAGGAAGCGCGATATAGCTGCGACATCGAGTGCATTGCTATCGTCACTATTGACCGTATGCGGAAGCCCACCAGATCGGGACCGTTGTGCGAGACCATGGGTGTCGTAAGTGTCGAGCCTCCTAGTGAGATTGCCTAGTCGCTCAGATATGTCCCGGATGCGATCTAGAACCCTTTGATACTTTTGACTATCCACCTGGATGAGCACGTCGTCGTTCTCGGGTATCGCACTCAGCATATGCTCCGACTCCAGCAGAGCTCGCCTCAGTCTGTTCCTACGGTGATTCGGGTCATGAGCGTCAAAGGCATTGGTCTCCATCGAACTGTCGAGCATGCATCGCTTCAAAAGTAAAGAAATCTGTGATGTCATGGTTCTTTCAAGCATTAGCATGCTATGTCATGACTGCACTCCATCCAGGGAAAAGACGTACTTGATGGACTTCAGCATCTCGAGATTCTCCAATTGATTATTCTCCGTTGCCTTCATGAACCCGAACGTCGCATCTCGCGTTTCCTGACTTGATTTCAAAGTCGCAATTTTCAGACATCTCTCGAGCTTTCGTCGGAGCCTTTCCGCTTCGTCACGCTCTAGTGGCCAGGTAACCTTCTCGAATAGGATGGTTGCTTTGGTGCCGAAGCTGCTACGCCGACCCTTCAAGGCATTTTCACCCTGCGTCAATTGCCGATGCTTATGTACGAACCCTGCGCATTCGTCAATCGTCTGGTTGTAGAAGGCCCCCAAATCTCGTTCGCCCTTGATGGTCGGCTGCTTTGTCTTTTGAATCTGCTCCAATAACCCTTTTATGGCCCCGAATTCTTGCCGAAATGAGTTAAAGTCGGCAGAAGCACTTGCGGGTCCTTCTTTGACATTTTTGTAGATGGTCCAGACAGTAGTAACGGCTGTCATGACATCTCCAAGACCTATCTGGGGAAAGCTCATTGCTTGTTCCCTGTCCTAGAATGTGTTCTCCAGAACAAGAGGTGCTTTGTTGTTGACGGTTTGGAATGTACAATCAAGCAGAAGGGAAGCGGAGCAGAATGGATATGTGTCTGCAGGATCGATCGCCGCATCCTGGCGCTGGCAAGTCACAAGGGACTTTGAAATGCTACGAGGCTGAGCTACCATGGGAGGAGTAAAGTGCCTTCGCTTCTGTCTGGTCAGGCCACAGCTTGTCGCCGAGGGCAAATGAGCTTCATAGGGGGTGTGCGAACATGACTGCGCCCCACTACCTGGCCTAGGATTGAGACAATATCGTCTTCAGAGCCCTGACTCTTATCGCCTCAACCACATGGTAGGTACCCTGAGCTTTCGATTGTGGATACCTTCATCGGGCAAGCTCTCGTGGTGGCGGTGCACGAGCCCCTTAGCACCGGTCTAGTTTCTCCTTCTAGACCAATCGAGGAGCTTTGGTCAGAAACGTGCTGAGATGAGTCGATCAATTCGATATGACGTACAGACATACCACTATATTCTGGCTTCCAACACGAACCCGGATGATAGCCCCCGGGGTTACTTTTCATCTCGTCTTTTCTTGTCTGCTTGGGTTCAAGTAGTGGCACCAGTGTCTTGTGAGACAGCAAGAAATATGGCCCATCAGCATCAGCGGCTACCGCCCCCTTGTCAGCCTTGCGACCTTGCAGCCTCGCAATCATCGTATACCTATAATTGCAGGGACTGATCTGCGTTGATATTAATTCCGACTGAAAGAAACAAGTCCGCAGTCTAGAAATAGGCCATTCTATTCCAGCCTCTCAACTCGGTTCGTACAGAGGCACTACTTCAGAATTAGACCAATCAGACTTTGAGCTCCTGCCAGTCTAATCGATTGCTATGGGTCTTTTTCCCCAGGTCAAACTGTACCTGAATCCGTGGGGAAACTACGAAGACTTCAGACACCATGCTGTAGTTATAACCCTCCTCTCGTCATTCAACGGGCGTTGAGTACTTTGCTGACTCGCCTATAGCCGGCCCAAAGACATGATTTTATTATCAGTCGTTTAGAGAATGCGAGGAAAAGAGAATGGCTGTGGGTTATTGTAGTGGCTGGTACCGGCTTCTTCGCAGATGCATACTGTGTAAGTGACTTGAATATCAAGCACACATCCGTGACTGACCTTATAGATCTTTTCGGTCAACATGGTCACTCCGATGCTTAGTGCAGTTTACTGGAACGACATCAAGCTCAAGTCTAACACTTTACACAACTATCAAGTTGCCCTCGCCATTGCCACCTTGGGGGGTGCGCTGGTAGGTCAGATCCTGTTTGGCATCGCCGCTGACATCTGGGGTCGCCGTAAGATGTATGGATGGGAACTCATCATTCTCATATTCAGCACTCTCGGTATGTCAATGGCATCGTCTGGGAAGGATGATTCCATGTCCATGATCGGAGTTCTGCTCTTCTGGAGATTCTTCATGGGCGTGGGGGTGGGAGCTGACTATCCATTGTCAGCCGTGATCTGCTCAGAGTATGACCCTGTTGTTCTTCTTGTGTGCAGTATGTTGCTCAAGACAGTTCTCATGGTGTTCCAGGCTTGCTCCGACACGCATAAGAGGTCGCATGCTGGCAGTTGTGTTTCTTTGCCAGTCTCTTGGAGAGGCGGCAGCTGCCGTCGTGGCACTCATCGCCGTAGCTGGCTTCCGAAACAGCCTCCCAGATGATCCCAACAGTCTGAAGTGTACGGGCTCCTGCGTCCACGACCTGGACAAGATATGGAGGTATATTGTCGGCTTGGGCGCAGTTCCGGCATTTGTCGCGATTTGGTTCCGGATGACCATCATTGAATCTCCACGATACACTGCCGATGTGATGAACAATAGCCTGCAGGCTGCCGCCGATGTCTCCCAGTTCTATCGGTCAACAGATCTATCAGCCACATCGGTGTCCAGCCTGGGAGGGGATTCGATCTCTCTCACACAGACCCGTACACGCGAAGATCGCACTATCTCGCCGGCCGTCTCCCGCGATTCTGGCTCTGGAGCCAATGAGAATGGCACAAACTCCCGTGTAAGTATGTGGAAGAATTTTGGAATGTTTCTCAAACAGAATCACAACCTCCGCACTCTGATCGCGACTTCTCTGTGCTGGTTCTGCCTCGATCTGCCGTTCTATGGCCTGGGCTTGATGAATGCGGAGATCATCAATACCATCTGGTATGGGCAGGCCATTCAGCCAGCGGGCGTCTACCAGTATCTTTTGCGCGTGTCATACCAAAGCATTGTGGTCGTCTCATCTGGTGCCATTGTCGGCAGCGCAATCGCTGTCATGACGGTCGACCGCATTGGCCGGCGCAATCTGCAGCTCTTGGGCTTTGGCTGGTTGTTCATCCTAAACGTGATCATCGGTGCGGCCTTTCGGTATCTCAGCGAGCATGGCGATGCATCGGCTCTTGTCGTGCTCTATGTGCTGACGCAAATCTTTTTCAATTTTGGTAGGTTCATACGCTGCCTTAGAAAGAGCTGGCTAATGCCGAACTAGGACCGAACACTACGACTTATATTGTATGTTACACACATTGTTATTCTGTTGGCTCCGACAAGAGTTGCTCGTTGTTAACATCATTAAAATCACCTCTGACATCCTGCAGGTTCCCGCGGAACTCTTCCCCACTCGCTTCCGCTGCACCTGCCATGGTATCTCGGCTGCATCCGGTAAACTGGGATCCATCCTAGCCCAGTGTTTCCTGGGTTATGTGGACTTTGGAAACGGTGCAAACTGGCGACACGTGCCAGATTGGCTGGGTTATGCGCTTCTGTGGTAAGCCCATCGGATTGCGTCTCGGTCAAGGTCTGACATGCTTCTAGCCTGTCTTTCTTCATGCTGATGGGCCTCATTGTCACTCTTTGGATACCAGAGACACGGGATTCGAGCGGGAATAATAAGTCTTTGGAACGAATCGCCGCGGAGATGGAGTTCAAGAAGGAGTGTGATCGGGATATTGAGACCAATGGGTTGCAAAGGCCGGTTACTGACGGTTCTTGAGGTTTGAATCGCTTTATATGGCCCCTGTTTGCTGCGATACCAATGTATTCCTGACCTTGCTTATGGCCCTATTTTTGAGCAGTGACGAAGGCTCATCCAGGTGCTACACTCATTTAATGCTGCGCTTGAATTCACCAGCAAAGAAGATTCAATTTTCTTGATGGCGAGTTGCCGGTCACTGTATTCTAGTAGCCTTTCTGAAAGACTTATTCACTTTCCTTTTGGTAAGCAAGTTCTAGATGATTCACCTACTGCGTGCAGCCTGCAGAGCTAAGCTATTGACTCACTTTCATTGAATGTGAATTAACCGATTGTTGAAAACCATTAACTCTCCGACTGGCTGCCCATTCCCCAGAGGTGGTCTGGCTCCTTCCTCCACTATTTAAATCTCCTTCCACTCCCTCTTCCTCTTCCTCTTCCTCTTCCTCCTCTTTCCATCCACCAACCCACCTTCCTCCATCACTCCATCTCTTACATCTCTCATCCTTTCCCTTCCTTATCCTCCACCACCCTTCCATCTATCAAGCCATCATCCTGATTATCTTATATGATGCTTATCATCCTCATGTGTCTCATCCACTCGGTATACTGTTCAATACATGGAATGCCGCCAGACAGAATGGGTCCGTTCCTCAAGCAGACAGCCATCTGGCCTATACTGAGTGCGCGCTTTGCAGCCTTGAACGAGAGACTCAGGCCATTTTCTAATAGTCTTTGGTGTTGGATCACTGGGAAGAAGTCCCTCAACCCGGCCACTTCGCCTGTGACGGGCGAGGTGTTATCACTGGGTTCGTTGCAGATCAAACGCCCATGGCAAATCTTTTGAGCAGTCTGCTTGCCAGAGGCTCCCAGAACATCTTGCAGGATGAGGACCGATCTCATCCTAAGGAGCAACTGCGATGCCCACGCAGAGTGAAGTCCTTTGCACAGAGATGCAACAGCTCTTGCTGTGAGACCAAATCTCCTCCCGCCCTACCAGAAGCTCGAATATTTCGACTAGCTCCATGAGGACCTTGAAAGGCAGGTTCAGCCACCAGTGTATTGACTCCTTGACCGTGCGAGGCTATACCGACACTATCACTTTGGCGTTCTTGATTTTCAGTCTATTTCTGCATCCCTCCTGTTATCACCCCGTTATCAGTCCGACTCTTCAGGATGCCCGATTTCTCTTTGATCTCCAAGGCAGTGGACTAAAACTCTCGCTGTCCGTGTTGCAGACACAGCATCTTATCCGAAGGATAGGTGACCTGATCACACGGCTTGCACTTCCCTTTGGACTTCATTGGCTGTTCGACTTTCCAGACGTTGAAGATGCCGTCTCTTGTCATGGTACCACTGACATCTGGTCCACATCACTGAGGTGGTATGCTACCTCTACGCGGATGCTGTGAGGCATGAAGCAGCCTCGAATGTCCTAGACGCCTGCACTGAAATCCTCGATCTGGTGCTTGAAATTATTCCCGTCCACCTTCCTCAACTGCGGTGCTACTTTCAGCATACCAGAGCGTTCACAACATTATCTCGGGATCCTCAATCCTCAATACTTAAGAAGCCCGAGACCTTGCGGAACACAAAGTTACAACTCTACAACTCTTCAAAAGGAGGGGGAAATAAGCAAATCAACATTGGATACAAGGCTTCCGTCCAGAGCCACCAAAGAATCCACAGGTATCGCCGTAGATGCGCCTGCCCTGCAGTATGGCAGTCCTCGGACGCTGTGGTTGGATGTCGTGCGGGTTAAAGGGGCAGTTTTGCCCTTTACCCAGTGGAACTAAGTGCGAATGAAAGGTCTCCAGTTTTTCGGGCTCCCAACGAATGCTTACCAAGAAAAGCCAGTCGATGAGGCGATCTCCGTCGCATATTATCGGACGATCTGACAATTAACCAATATTGACTTCAGGCGCGCAACAGCCTAGATCCAGACTCTTATGTATCGTGCGTTTTACAGCTAAAGCTCACCCGGCGGTGGGATTATCGACATTCTGACGCTCCTATGCTCCTTTCTTTGCCGGCGTGGTTCTCAGAGCCAATATCTTCCGGAGAGCATTGTTCTTGGATC